TTGAGTTACCTTAGTTTTATGATTGAGGCAGAATAAATCTGTTTGATGTTTTTTTTTTTTTTTTTTTTTGATTCTGCTCACATGCTTGTGTAGGTTAGTGATTTGCTGGCATTACTGGACTAGGATAAGAAATATGAGTGCTTTAATTGATCAACTATGAATAGCTTTTATTACAAGCTAGTGTGTAGTAGTATGTGGAGGAGTCACATACAGACTAGCCTAGTACTTCCACAGACCAAATGGAGAATGATAACTCTCAGACACATAATGGAAATCCTCTTCTTGGTCCTTCTAGTAGAATAAGTGAAGGTACATAGAGGCTGTCTGCTGTCACCCACCAACCACCCTTGCATTAGTGGTGCTTAAATGTGAACACATTTCTGCAGGATAGTGTTTTGTGTTGATAAACCCATTGGTTATGGCTAACATTCACGCTAATCCTATGAAAGCTGCCAGCTCTCAGCCATGAGGGATTCTGCTAAACCGAATCTCCCAGAACAATCAGTATGTGCAGTAGTGCACCTAGTAAATGACAGTTTAGAAAGAAGAGGGTTTTATTCCATTTCCTGACTATGTGTGGTATGATTCTGACTGTACTAATGATATGGTTTCATGTGCTATTTCAGAGTAAGACAGTAAAATCATTAAAGATGTGAGTGTAAGTGACTAGATGCAGAATAGTAAATTAATTTATTTTAAAGAATTATTTATTTACTTATTTTTAATTTGACCAGAGAGGGGCAGAGTGAGAGAGAGAAAGAGAGAGAGAAAGGGAAAGTGAGAAAGCAAGCGAGCAGGTCTGGGACTCAAACCACAGGGCCATGTGGAAGTCCAGTGCCCTTAACCACCATGCCACCTGCCAGTCCTCAGAATAGTAAATTTAAATAATTAGAATACTATATTATTAGATCTCTATATTTTAAAAAATGGAATTAGAATCTGCCTGGATCCTCCCCCCCTCCTCTCTTGGAGAGGTTTTTGCTATAAGGCGTGTGTACTAGCCAGAAAGACAGAGAGACAGAAAGCGAGAAATCGCCCCCCAGCGGGGATGGCCACGCCGCAATCCCTTCTCCTCCATTCTCCTCTTGGGATCTTGGGCACGCATGCACACGCGCCTGGTGTGAGTTTTAAGCCACTGGGTCCGGGACACGAACCGTGGTTGACTACATGGGAGTCCAGCGACATAGCCATTACGCTAACTGCTGGTCCCTTTGCCTGGATTCTTAAGCACTAAAGCTTTGAGTTACCTTAGTTTTATGATTCTTTATGAAAGCAAGTAATCTGCCATCACATTTTTTTAGGAAGTACTCAAAGGCAAGGTTGGAAAATGTCTAATCTTTCTACACAAAGTTGGGTTCAGTATGTAACTGTGGGAAAACCCACTGCCCCTCTGTAAGCCATAGAACCCCAAATGTCTTGGGATAGTTGATGTTTTCAGCTCAAAACAACAACAAAAAAGATGGAAATTAAATTTTTGAAAGGTACCCCCCCCAAAAAAAATAAAGGAGTCGTCAACCAATTGAAAAGTAAAATAATTTAAAAAGAATTATTTATTTTCACTTGTTATTCTTTTTAATTTGATTAGAAAGAGACTGAAAGAGAGGAAGGGAAAGCGAGAAAGCAAGCCACCAGATCTGGGACTCAAACCATGGTTGACCATGTGGGAATCCAGTATCTTTAACCACCATGGCATCTGCCAGAGGCCAAAAGTAAATTTTTTAGAGCAGTGTAAATGTGTTATCCTAGTAGTGACTTGAACTTTCTCCTGATGACATCCTTTACCTATGGCTTCTATCCAATAGATGTTTCTTACTTTAGAAAACTTTTCTATATCTCGCACTTGACATCGTGAGGTGCACCATCCTCTGTTATTTGAAATTTGGTACCTGGAGTTTTCACCAGGAGTTGAACGTCATTTTAGAGTTTTTAGATTCCCATTTTGTTACTAACCCTTGATCTGCAAAATAAAAGAACAGAAACACTGAACAATCATGTGGGAATCTCCTATCAAATTGTGCCCAGGTCATGGTGACAGAGGATCAGAACAAATAGTGCTGTTCTTATCAGTAGAAGATTATGTGTATTTAGAATATGGTCACATAGATATGTCATGGCTCTGAAGAAAATAATACTTAAAACATTTTTAAGTTCTTTTTTAATTTTTTTTTTTTTTTAAGTTTTGCTATAGGGTGAGTGAGAGAGTGAGGGAAAGTGAGAAATCACCCCGCCCCCAGGAGTGATTCTTCATCCTCTTCTCGGACTTTGACCATGTGCATAATTTTTTTTTTTTTTTTTAAGCCACCAGATCGGGGACCTGAACCGTAATCAGCTATGTGAGAATCTAGTGCCTTAACTACCACACCACCTTGTCAGCCCCTCTTCCATCCTATTTATCTCTTGCTACTCTCTATGGGTACAGCTGCAACAAAACCGGGGCTTTGTTCAATACAGACCCTGCTAATGAGTCCTTTTCTAAAAAGGGCTGAGATTTAATTCACTCACCACAACTCACCCCTTTAAAGTGTGCTGTGTTGATGGTTTTTAGTATATATTCAGAAAGCTTTGTAAGCTATTAGCACTGTCTAATTCCAGAACATTTTCATCACCCAAAAAAGAAACCATGTATCCTTGAGCATTCCCCTCCTGGCAACCACTAGTCCACTTTCTCTCAAAGTTCTTTCTTCTATGACTCTGAAACCTCGTGTCTCTATAATGGTTAGAGGAAATGGGAGGGGCAAGCTACACAAACTGCTTCTGTTATTTGATTTGTCACTTCTAGTCCCTTGGGTAAATGGAGAGATGGTCTGCTGAATCTGAGTCCAGCCCGCACCCCCTTTTTAAGAGATTTTTGTTATAGGGGGTCTCCACTTGCCAGAGAGACAGAGGTAGACAGAAAGCAAGAAATCGTCCCCCAGGGTGATGGCCATGACCAATCCCTTCTCCATTCTCCTCTGAAGATTCTGGGCAGGTATGCACATGTACCTGGCATAAATTTTTAAGACATTGGTTCCAGGACTCAAACTACAGTCGACTCTATGGGAGTTCAGCAACATAACCATTAGGCCATCTACTGGTACCATCCAGTCCCCTTTTCTGCTTATGATTACATTTATAGTCATTTAAAAGTGCTAAGTGCGTGATAATGGCAAAATGTTGAGTTCCGATAGTGAAATTAATTTCAGAGACACTTTGGAATTCTAAATCACAGAATCATCAAGGAAACCCTTATAGTTTCCTCTGATCTTTCTGTTCTGGCTTTAAAAATAATCAAAATGTAAATCATACAGACTTTATCCATCAAAACGAGAAAAACAGGTAGCTTGGCTGAATTGTAGGCTTGAATATAGGCAGCAAATGGGCTGTAAATAAATATTTGGGATTCCTGCCCATCATACTCTCCTAGGAGATTTTGAAGTTTGCCAGCTGGGAAGACAAATGCAGACTGACTTTGGGGAGTGAGGGGGCAGTTCCAATCCTCAGCAGTTTTCTCTGACTGCAGTGGGAAGAGTAAGGCATTGAGAAGTGCTGATGAATATGAGCTGTGCAAAGGAGGAACCCTTGGCGACCTGGAGTCTGCTCACTAGGTGCTCCTGGCTGGTAATTCACATTTATTAGCTGAGGGGTGTGTTGTTTGTTGCACAACTCTTCCCGACCAACCCAGAGTGGCTTCTTAAGGAACTAGAGTGCTGGACCTTGCTCCAAAGTTTTCCCTTTTGGTGTAGCTGATTTCAGTCCAAGTACGGCTATGGCTCTCTTGTATGATTGCTCGGCATGCAGATCTAGGAATTGTCATCCCTTCCCTGGGACTACTGTGAGAGAGCAGGGTGTGTGCACCCCACAGAAACCATGGGTGTGAGAATGTGGGTGTGGGGAGAGTTGGCAAACATGGACAAAAATCGGAACCACCAGAGTTGGGAGAGATTGTCAGACCTTATTACACTAAAAGGGGGCAATTGTTACATAGATACCCTTTTGTCTCCTGTCTGGCCCTCATATTGTTATAAACAACAGGTGCTGGAAAGCTTGGAATTCATGTAGTTCTCCCTCCCTCTGCTTAACAAATAAAATAGGAATACATTCTTTGTATAAATGCATCAAAATGTTGTAGTTTAAAAGTGTTTTGAATAGAGTTGAGTCCATTTGCAATAAGGATGCTTTTTCTGAAAAGGTTACTCTCCTTCAAGGATAGATAGGTTTTTTGTTTGTTTGTTTAGTCTATTAAAACCTTGGTGTGTTAAGGGAAGATCTGTAGAAGAATATTTTCATTTCCATCAAATTATGCCTGATCCCTTTTCTTCTGTGTTATTGAACATAGAAGTAATATCTTTCACTAATGCCTTTTCTTGGCCTTCACCCCCCTCCAAAAAAAAATTCTCAGTAAGCAGATAAAGTTAAACATGGAAACATTCATTCCAACCTTAATTTTCACCCCTAGTTCCCACTGCCTGGTAATTACTTTTTAGCCATTTGGAGTATATTCTTTGTGTACCTATTCAATGAACATATAAAACTGTCAGGGTGCTCTTTTTGGCATGTCTAAACCCTTTCCATAACACCCTAAAAAGGTGACATGACGTTAAAATGATTTGAACTTTTCTGCTCTGGTAGAGTATTGCCCAGATATTTTCATGAGAAAGCTTTAAGATACACAAAGCAATGTATGTAGTGCTGGATTGGACCTGCCTGCCACATGGAAGGTGCTTTCCGTAATGATTTGGGATTGCCTCACCAAAACTGCAATACTACCTTGGCTAATTGCTTTGAATTGTCCCTTTAAGAAGAATCCTCCATAGTACAGGGAAGCCTCTAGGTTAAGGTTTGCTTTTATGGCCACTGCTGAGTCTCTTGGTTTTGTGCTTCTTGGGGTGTTGCTTCACAGTTAAAAATAGAGCTCTAATTAAAATGGACACCCTCTCTGGAAATAAGAACTATATTTCAATTGGTAAATTTCCTGTTTCCTTACCATGTGTTTTTGTTTTGTTCTAATTCTTTGAAAACAGCAAGCCAGGGCTGAGCAGGAAGAAGAATTCATCAGCAACACTTTATTCAAGAAAATTCAGGCTTTGCAGAAGGAGAAAGAAACCCTCGCTGTAAATTACGAGAAGGAAGAAGAGTTTCTCACTAATGAGCTCTCCAGAAAATTGATGCAGGTAAATTGTCTTTTCTACCCTCTCATCTTCTCTGCCTGTTTTCTTCTTTAGGAGAAAAAAAAAAAAAAGATGTAGATAGAGCACTTCGCTTGAAACATTTGCTGATGAGTTTGTAGCTAAAGTTCTTGGGAGATTAAAAATGCCAGGTGAAAATGGCAGCATGTGATACTCAAGGTCGTGGGCTGTAGCTCATCTGCTTTGCTAATGTGAGATATTTTGGACCCAGAGCATTTTCCAAGATTACTGATGAGCACAAGGCCTTACCTTAAAAGTAGGTGGTGTATGTAGCATTCAGGATATTCAGGGGTTAACTCCAGATGCGAGAGTTCTTTCTCCTGTTCTAAAATGAATGCATAGACTTTTCTTTTAAAAGGAGAGAATGTTTATAGAGTGTGTACAGTCGCCAGAGAGAGAGAGAGTGACATCCCCCAGAGGGATGGCCACAGCTCAATCCCTTCTCCTCTATCCTCCTCCCAGGATTTTGGGCATGCATGCACACATGCCCGGCATGAGTTTCAAGTCACCAGATCTGTGACGTGAACCAGGGGCTGCCATATGGGAGTCCAGCAACATAGCCATTATGCCATCTTCTGGTCCCTAGGCATAAACTTTTTGACAGTCATATTGGGCCTTTTGTACTAAAATAGAAGGACACACACACACACACACACACACACACACGTATATTAAAGAATCATTTAATTTAATTTTATTTATTTTAATTTGACCAGAGAGACAGAGAGGGAAAGTGAGAAAGCAAGCCACCAGGTATCCATGCTAGTCAAAATTGCACATTATCAATCGTATTGGTATTGATGTGGATGAGTACTGTGTTATTAAACAGATATCAGGCTGATTTTAAAACTTAACGTTAATTGCTAATAATACTTAGAAGACACCAGACAAAATATATGGGAAGGTTTGACTTTTCTGGTTTGGAATCTCATTTACTTCTCCTGCCACCTTTTTTTTCCCT